TGGGGGGAAGTGGTGTTGAAAAGGTGGACACTAGCTTGTGCCAGCAGATACTGACACGTGGCTTGTGGGGAAGGGTTTGTCGGGGGTCCACAGTGAGGTTAGCACTACAGCTTGGCTCATTCCTGCCGTGGCCCTACGCCACAAGGAGTGATGGCTTGGTACCATCAATGGCAAGAGGAGCAAAGACTCCCTGGAGGTGTAGCTGTGTATCACAAAGATTCGGGACAGGGGATGGCTGCTCTGGTCTCTGCTATGGACCTGCCCCTTCTGGAGGATGGTGGGGGTGTCATTGCTTGCTGTCTCTGAGAGGCAGTGGAGAGTGGGGCCTTTGGTTGGTTTTCCTCGCAGATCGCTCGCTGGTCCTGCCCAGCCATGGGTGGGTTTGGGGCTGTGAGTGGCAAATGGGTGGGATCTCCTGTCTGGGTTTGTGGCCAGCATTGGACTGTTGGCTTCCCTTGGCATGGGCACTGCTGGGCTGGTATGTTTGGTGCTGGGGCTGCTGGCAGCAGGAGCAGTTGGGTTCCTCTACATGGGAGAACGAGGTTGGTGTGTGCTTGCATTGCCAACCGAGGGCTGAAGGCAGCGAGTGCTGTGGGGCAGCAGGCTCACCCATGACACCCATGGCTGCAATTGCTGTGATCCATGATCCCTCCCTGGTCCCTGTGAGGACAGAACAAGCATTGAGAAGCTCTGGCAGCCCTCCTCAGCATGCGAGGCCTGGGGTTTGCATGGAGCCAGGAAGCAGAAGGCTGGGCTGGGTGCTGCATAAAGAGGAACATTGGGAAGCTTTGGCTGAGAGAGGGATGTGTGTTGCTACTACAGGGTGCTTGGTTGTCACTTGTCACTGCCTTCTTCAGCGCAGCATCTCTGTGTGACCTGTTCTGTCTCCCTTATGCGTGTCTGGAAAAGATGGAACTCCCCAAGGGAACAGGTGAGACTGTGGGTGTTGGGGCTGCTCCACACCTGGGACAGCACCTATGCACCCTCCAGGCAGCTGGTGCCTCTGCCAGGGCTGCCCTGTGCCAGGAACTCGGGGTCCATGTGCCACAGCATCCCTTTGGTGACAGTCCTGCAAGGCTGGAAGAGTTCTCTCATAGCTGGACACTTGTCTTGAGAAGTGGGTTAATTAGGCTGGGAGATGAAGCTTCCTCAGCTGTTTGTTGCCAGGAATGAGCTGCTAATTGCACATCTACCAGATCTTCCTGGGAAGGCTGCACGGGGCATGCTGGCAGCCCGGGGGTCCCCTGGCCCCTGGCCTGGCTCTGCTCGGGCCGTGCACTCCAGCAGGGCCCAAGGCGGGTGACTCCTCCTCCTTGGGAGCTGGGATCATGCTGGGAGCTTAGATTACATTTAAATTGCCATTTGCATTTTCCAATCAATACGCGACTTCACAATTAAGTTTGGTGTTAAAATTCTTAGCAAAAAGTGAGTGGAAGGGAGATTTGTGGAGTAAACGAGTCCTCTGGGGGCCATCGCTGCTGCCTGCTTCATTACGCTGCATATTGCTGCTGCTGCTGCTTTTAGTGTGCACCAGCTCAGCGCAGCGCGGCGCGGAGCCGCACACGGGCACAGAATGCCGGGAGAGCAAGAGGGTTCAGACTCCCCTCCCTCTGTGTGTGACACGGGAAGAAACTTGTGGAAGAGTTATTTCCTGGAACTCTTCCCACAGGGTGCAGAGGGAGGGCACCGGCACAGGGGTCTCGCAGGGAGCCTGGCTGGGAGGCTCGTGGGGAGCGTGCACAGGAGCGTGGATGGATGGCCTCTGCCGTGGCTCCTTCCCCCTTTGGCCTCCTGTTCCTTCTGGCTTGCAAAGACAGGCTGTAGGGTCCTCCTTTATGGCTTTGACTTCGGTTGTGCTTCAGTTTGCCGGGTTTGAGGCCTGCCTAACTGCAGCCAAACTGTTCTGTGCAGGCAGCATGTGTTTGGGGCAGGCTGCAAGTGCTGGTGTTTTGTAGCATCAAGCTGCATCAGGTTGAAGTCAGATCGAGGAGAGGAGCTGTTCTGCAGGATGCTGCAAAAGGGCAGGTCAGGCTGGAACCGAGCTGGGTTTAAGGCCAGAAGGGGAATCATCATGCCCAGAAGGGATCATTACATGCCCTGGAGGAATCTTCATGCCCAGAAGAGATCACTGTGCCCAGAAGGAATTGTCGCAATCAGAAGCCAGAGAATTCCACGCAGTGACTTTGAGTTAGATCTGTAACTTCAGCCTGGTCTGGAGCAGATCTGTTTGAGAGATACCAAACAAATATTTTGAATTAGAGAGAACTCACCATTTACCTGGGTGAGCTGGTGGATGTTAAACTGGCTTTGTGTGGGAGGAGGAGCAACCATTTTCACATGCTGTGTGGGGAATGTGTGGCCCAGCTGTGGTGTCAGGTGGGTCCAGAGGCCCACAGAAAACACAGGTACTGCTGGCTGTGTGTGGGAGGAGGGGACGCAGGACCCAGGCAGCTGTCCTGCCCTGGCATGGCATGGCACGGCTGCCATCTCATCTGGGACGTGCAGGGACATCAGGATCCCATCTCCAGTGGGGAGGACCAGTGCCCACCAGTGCAGGTGTTGTGCAGAGGTTGGAGTGGCATGGTACAGCTGAGCCTGAGGGAGGGAGGGGCGAGGTGACCTCCTGGCACTCCTCCAGCTCTGCTTTGCGGTGACAGTATCACAGATGGGAGTTAGCACTCTGCCCTGTCTGACCCAGAAAACGCTGCCACACTGAGGTACCTTTCCCACAGAGCACTGGGGGCTTGGGAGCTGCTCAGTGTCAGCACATGGAGCCCAGGAGCTCACACGTGGGCTGCTCCCACCCCATCCCTGACAGCCCACTGCAGATTCCTGCCAGCTGGCCCTGAGCAGGATCGTGCCTGCTGTCCTCAGCAGCTCAGTTTGCCCAGTGGTAGGAGCAGTAGGGGTTAAGGACCAGTCACTGCACTGATTTACACCATACACTTGCCACATTCCCTTTTCCCCCAGGTTTTCTGTTTTCTGTTTTCTTGGAGTTCATTTGAGCAAGACATTGAGGAACTAGTCTGAGTCAGTTGGCTGCACCTCTGTAAGTCCTTCTGTTGGACACAGGTTTACCATTTATAACCATGCTTGTTCTCAGACATGGATATGTTTGGAGACCTTGCACTTGACTACTTCTCATTCCATCCATTCCTGGCTCTATGGGTTTTGTACAACTGGTGTTTAAGGATGTTGTTACTCAGTTAAAGGCCTGACAGAAAGATAGAACCACTTGTCAGCACAGTCACTCCTGCCATCACATGCTGTGTTTTACCCAAGGGAGAACCAGGCTCCTCTAATGTCCTGTTTGCTCTGCTGGCATTGGCTCCTGTCCTGTCCTGTCCTGTCCTGTCCTGTCCTGTCCTGTCCTGTCCTGTCCTCTCCCCTCCCCTCTCCCCTCTCCTTTCCCCTCTCTCCTCTCTTTGCCATAGCTTTTCCCTCCTTTTGCTTGGTGGGAGCATCCAGCCATGCCTGCAGGGGTTGTTGCTTGTCCCCTGGCAGATCTTGGCAGAGCAGGAATTGTCGGTCAGCCACATTCCATGCCTTGTTCTCATCAGCACCTTCTGACTACTCCTGAGTGAGTTCTTCAGCTCATGTCCTTTGAGGGCCAGGTATCAGATCCTGACAAGGGATCTGATGCTGCCTACACACAGCTTTGCCCTCGCCGCTCTGTTTTGCTGTTCCATCCCTGTGTGTGCAGGAGGCAGCTCCTTTTCCTGCTGTTTGCTGCCCGAGCACCGAGCTGGAGTGGTCATGGGGACTTCTGCCTGTTCTGCACCATTTATTGCTGATTTCACGCTCACGTCTGGCAGTGTTGTCCCCCCACCACTTCTTGCTGGGCCTTTGCACCGTGCAGGCACAGCAGCTCGGTCTCCAGGCACTGGGACTGGGCCCTCAAATATGCCAAGGCTGGTGGAGCTGAGACTTTCTGCCCAGGTTTTTGAGGAGGGGCTGGCCTGGGGCCCAGATTTTTGCCAAGTTCGGAACAGGCAGTCTGGGTGTCTGTCCAGACAGCTCTTTTGGAGGGGCCAGGCCTGACAATTGGTAGATTCAGCTTTTTCCCAGACTTTGTTACTCATTCCTACTTTTGTCCCCCCGTGCTGTGCTTCCCTCCCTGCCAACAGAGTGCATGACGTGCTCTCCCTGCTCCAGAGCCCTTGCACCTGGTGTCTTGTCCCAGCTTCCTTCTCCCTCTCCACCTTTGTCCTTACCTGGTACATGATAAATTGCTGCTGGGGGTAGATTTCCTGGGGAGGCAAAAATGAATGGAGAGAGGATGAGGATCATCTGTGCTCTGAGCCTTGGCTCAAATCAATGGAGTTAGTTCTGGGTGGGGAGTTCAGCACATGCCAGTGCAGTCATTACCTGTGAATGTGTTGTGCCAGCAGCAGCAGGATGGGTCTCAGGTAAAATCCTGATGAGAAAAGGGGATGACTCTAACTCTCAACTGCCCAGGACCTACCCTCCCTCCTGGGATGTGTCCCTACTCTGTTTGACAGCTCTCAGAATCACAAGCAGGTGAGAAAATGTGCATCCCTTGGGAGATCTGTATTTGGAGCGTTGTTTCTCAATCGGCCCCTGCCTGTTCCCAGGTTTCCTGCCTTGGCTATCCCTCAGTACTTTGGGTGGTGGGAGAAGGTCTGGGAGCAGTCTGTGTCTGTGGCAGTGAGGTTGGCTCCTGTCCTGCGTGGGCACTGCAGCATGGCAGGAGTTTCTCAGAGGAAGTGGTTTGGGACACCAGAGGATACGATGGGTCCCTCAGAGGACCTGAACATTGGCATTGTCATGTGGAGAGCCTTATCCCTGAAAGGGAGGAGGCTGTCTGTGGGGACTGAGGGGTTGGTAATGAAAGGGTGCAGCCCAGAGAAATGTGGGAAAGCCCACCTTTTCTTGCTGCTCATTGTTTCTTCTCAAAGAACAGTCTCCAAGGGGCATGGAGCGGAGCATGAGGTGCCTGGAGCAGACACCATCTGAGACTCATGACTCTTCTCTTTCAGGGCATTCTCCTCAAACGCAGTGGCAAGTCCCTCAACAAGGAGTGGAAGAAGAAGTATGTGACACTGTGTGACAATGGGGTCCTCACCTACCACCCCAGCCTGCACGTGAGTACTGGGCTGAGTAGAGGAGCAGGGTGGCACAGAGCAGTGTCCTTCATGCTGTGGCTGCTGCTGCAGGTGCTCTTGCAGCAGCTGTTATGGCAGAGAGAGGCTGGGGAAGAGTTGGGTAGCAGATGGAAGTTCTGGGCTCTGCCCTATGCAGGAATTCAGTGTTGGCCACCTCCAAGGCAGCATTTTCAGCAGACCTGGTTTTAAAGCAGGGTCTGGAGGAGACTCTGTCCTGCAGGCCGTTTCTTCAGTGCTAGGCTGGTGGAAACACGCTCTGTGCAGGATTACACTGACAAGCTGCAGTTCTCTCCAGTTTGCCTGCTCAGTCCACTAAAGCAGGGCCTACCCTGCAGCCAGATAAGGAGCAGGTAGAGAGCTCCTTGCACCCATATCTGATGGTGCCATTTGGGTGTGGAATAATTTTCCTGGCTGCTGGGTATTGGGTAATGGACTCGAGGTGCCTGTGCAGAGCCTGCCGAGCTGAGGTGCAGCTCTGATCCTTCTCTCCGCTCGGCTCAGGCTCGCAGCTGCCGCCCCATCCATCTCTGTCGCCTCCCCACTGTGGGGCTAATGGCTTCTTCCCTATTCCCTCTTGAGCACAGTTTGCTGCTGCAGCAGCAGCCACGGACAGACACACCTGTGACACAGGCTCAGCACCTCTGCCAAGGACGTACTGCCACAGGACAGACGGACGGGCAGTGGCGGGGGGGCACAGGGTGGTTTAGGGGGCTGCAAATAGAAGAACAAGGTGCTGCGGCTCTTGTGAATGTTCCCAGGCCCTCAGTCTGTCCCTGATCTCCTCAGATGTGTGGTATTGGAGTGCCTCAAGCCTTAGAGTCTTTCTCCTCATTGCTAGCCCTGCACCTTCATTCCAGGGTTTACCATGCTCAGTTATCCAGCTCCAGAGCCCCTGGACCCTCCTGTCCTTGAACTGGAGACCCAACCATTGCATTTCCTTTCTCTGATTTGTTGGAGCTTTTTCTTAGAGTCCTCAATCCCTGTACTGTGCTGTAGTCTGCAGTTCTCTAACTTTGTAACCCCAGTTTTTGGTTTTTGGAGCACCACACCAGGAGGGAGCGGCTGCTGCCATCTCATGTGTACTCACCTGTGCACCTGTGTGTATGGGCTTATCATGTTTCCACCATGGAAATTACCATGCTATTACCATCAGCTGTGGAGGCAGAGCAATTTCTGGGCTGTTGTTTAGCTACTCTCAGATGCTGCTGCCACATACCAGGTTTCTCTCCTTTTTTCACCATTCCTTCTTCAGGGGGTGATTGGGATTGATGCCACTCCTTCCTTCCTGCACTTCAGTATTTCATTTCATTACTGCCTTGCCCTGGGAAAAAACCTGTTTTGCTTCTGGCTGGTGCCCCAGGTGATCCGCAGCCCATTGCTGAGGGTGATGCCAGTTGGGCCTCTCCTGCCCGGTTTCCACGAGGAGCTCTGAACCTTGCACCTGAGATAGGAGTTGTATGGCTGGGTGTGTTTACCTACAGCGAGGGTGGATTACATGTGGGCACAGAGCAGGGGGTTCTGCGTGCTCCTCTGTGGCGTTTTCTGCCTGGGAACCACCCTCATGTCCCGTTGTGTGCTGCAGTTTTGGCAGCATGCTGCTGGGGTCTGCAGAGCCTCTGCCTCCCCTTCCCTCTGGTACCTGGTGTACAGCCTGCTTGGAAGGGGTGGATGCAGGGACAAGCAGGAGGAAGAGGGAGTGCAGAGGAGGATCTCCTGTTGCATCTGCTCCTCCCCATCTTCCAAAGTGAATCAGGAGGTGCTGTGATGGATTTGTACCCTGTGGCCCGAGGCAAAGCCCCCATGTCTTTTCACAGGATGACACAAGCAGAGCATGTTAGGGGTGGAACAAACCTGTGCTCCCGAGGATGGACATGTACTCTTCTATCACCTCAGTGTGGCAGAAGATCCCAGGCTGGCTGGCACGGGCTGCACGGAGCTGGGGGCTAAAACAAACCAGAGTGTCTGCCAAGGGGACATGCAGCATCCAGTTCTCGCCATGGGATGGGAAGTCCCAGCTTCTTCCCTGCCTGTGCCTCCATGTGTCTGGGGGATGGCACAATTCTGGATGCAGCAAAGGGGTCCCTGAGGGCAGGCTAAGCCTTGCAGGAGGAGAGTCTTCCCTGTCCATCAGGATGTTCAATGCCCCAGAGCATTTTTGTGCTCTTTTTGTGTTCCCAGTGGTGTTTCTTGGAATGAGTCAGGGCAGTTCCTGGCTTGTCTTCTCTTCCATCTCTGTTACATTCTCTCCCTGTCCCTCCTAAGGTGAGTGTTGGGACCTCAGAGATCAGCAGTCCTAATTTCTTTCTCCTCCAGTGCACATCTGGCCAGGGTGTGTCCATGCCCCACTGGATGGAGGTCAGGGCCTGACTTTGGCAGTGCTGATTTTGCCAGCCAAGGCTTCCTGGTGGAGTTCTTCATCTGCTTTTGGGAGTTTATCACTCAGTCTGTTTCTGGATCTGGATTGTGGCTCCTCCAGCCCAACTTGAAAGTTTCCTCAGCAGGAGTCAGGCGTAAACTCTGTGTTTGCAGTCGCAGGTTGGTGAAACACGAGCTGCTGAGCTGGCCCTGGCCCTGCAATTGCTTTCCTGCTGGAAGCAAATCTGCCTTGACCAGCAGCCCGGACTCCTGCTCTGGAGCTGTGGGGCAGTTTATGGGTTCCTGCCCTGAGGTGCCACATCTGCCTCTGCCCTGGAGCAGTTGGTGGTTCCAGGGACAAGCAGGATGCCTGGAAATGGAGGCAGCAGTGCTGGGGGCCCGATCCCTGCATTCAGCAGGGCTTTCCTTGTTGCATCTGTATTTCTGCCTTTCTGTGAGTGTGTTCAGCAACAGGAAAGGAACAAGTTGTGTGAAGAGCCTGGTGCAATTTCCCATCACTTCCCCAAAGCCTTGGAGAGAATTCTGCTGCCGGGAAGGTGCGTGGCTGAGCCCAGGCTCGCCGGCCGCGCTGCACAGAGCCAGGGAAGCAGCTCCCATTTTGCAGCCAGTGGAGCCATTCACACAATCACCTTCTGTTAATTCTATCTGCAACATCAATTAAATTGTTTGTAGAAACTAATTGAATGTGGCTTAATCACACATCTTAATAGCTTTCCACGCTTTGAACTCGTTGTTAATTCCAGTAATAAAATGAAATGAGAGAACTGGCTGGGTAATTAGCGAGGAGGCTTGGGAAGAAATTGCTGTTTTATGGTAGGTAATAAAAGCCGAGCGCCAGTGACCGCTCGCTCCGGCAGGCAGCCGGTGACTGCAGCAGTTGTGCTGAGTGAGGGAAAATCCTCCAGCCCCTCTGAGGGTCCCTGCCCAGGGCTGTCACCAGGTCCACACCCAGCTGGGAGCAGGTTGGTGTGGTGTTTGCTTAGGCTGGCGGTGTCAGAGTCACCCAGGGTACTGGATGGGGAGTGCCAAGCTTTGAGGGCAGGCTGCCCAGCCCCTGGGAGCATTGGGAGGGTGTGCTGCCCCGTGTCCAGGGTGTGCTGTGAGGGCAGGATGCCTGCATAGGGGTCACTGGAAAGAGAGGAGATCAGACTGAGGCATGAAGGTGCTCTGGGGGACCATGGCCCTTGAAAATACCTACCTGAGGGCATAGAGCATGGCCTGTGCAGCCCCTGTCACCTTCATTTGGGTCCAGGATGGGAGGATTGTTGCTCTTAAACTGAGCTAGTTCATGTCTTTATCTTCTTGGATGTGTAAGTGGGACAGGGACCATCTCTCAGTTATTCTTTTTGGCGACCTCCTTGTGAACTGGAGTAAACCTGGGCCCCCCACAGCAGCCACAAGCTCTCCCTGGTCAGCTGTGGCTCCTCTCCTGACAGCAGCACAGGAGCCCAGGGCTGGTGTCCTCAGCTCCCTGTTCTGCCAAAGCCTTGAGCTCCAGTGCTGGTCCCTGCTCCAGCAGATCCCTTGGGATCTGACCAGCAGTTCCCCTCTGTGACATTGGCTGGGTCTTCCCTTTCTGAGGACACAAGCCTGAGGAGGTGCTGGCCTCATCAGAGAGGGCTGGGGAGAGCCCCGGTGCCCCACGGAGCAGGGAGGGGTGGGAGGCACAGGAAGGGACACAATACTCAGGAGAGGCTGGGAGTCTGCACCCTCATTCTGACTGAATGCTGAGATGCTCTTGGAAGACAGGGCAGAGTGATAGTTACAGCCTGCACATGGGGGTTTGGTTGTATAATGAATTGTCTGCTAGAAGAAATGGTGGAAGCACCAAGGTTGGAATAATAGGAAGCTCTGCAGGTGAATGAGCAAGGGAGTTACCCAAGTTCTATTGATTTGGGTTTCTCTTACCCCAGCTGTGACCTGAGAGGGAATTTTTAGGTATCCCATTGCTTATGCTGTACTTACAGTAATTATATTACTTACGTTACTTTATGTTACATTACGTTATGTTATGTTGTTATTGGCTGTTGCATTTGAATGCTGAGATTACACAAGGGACAATAGGGGGGAGGAAGTGCTGGCCACCTGGTGATCTCTGATCCCCAGCCAGGCTTTCCCAAATGGGCTCACCCTGGCACGTGACAGGGCTTAGTGCCCATTCTGAGGATGGGGGAGCTGAGCGTGTTTGGCTGGGGCAGGGCTGATCCTCCACCTTCCTGCCTCTGCTCCAGGATTACATGCAGAACGTGCACGGGAAGGAGATTGATCTGCTGAGAACTACGGTGAAGGTGCCGGGCAAGCGGCTCCCCAGGGCCACGGCAGCAGCAGCAGCAGCAGCGGCAGCGCCCAGCGCCAGCCCCAAAGCCAACGGGCTGGCCAAGGAGCGGAGCAGCTCGCAGCTGGCAGGAGGAACAGGTAAGAGCTGGTGTGGGTGGCACAGAGCCAGCAGCCGTCCCTCCACAATGTGTCAGCAGCCCCCAGCTTTGCTGAGCTGAGAGCAGAACCCCTTCGGAGGGGTCTTGCTTTCACCACCCTCAGGGAGTCCCTGTGGTGGGCCTTAGCATCTCTGTGCAGGTCCCAGAGGCAAGCTGCTCTTAGGATTTTGTGCTGCTTGATGTCCAGGACAGAAGAATGTCAAAGGGTTTAAGTGGCAGTGTGAACCCCTGAGGAATTCCCTCACCCTGAGGAGAGTGGTGAGGCTGGTGAGCTGCTACGCATGGTGGAAGCTGCTGCTTCCTAAACCAAAGGAAATCCCATGGCTCTGGGGTTGGTTTCTTGGTTTCTGACAAGTTGTCTTCTGTTTCTTTCTGGTTTTTCTGGTTATTTCCTGCTCACTTTCCCCTGGAGAAATGGTGAAGATCTGGTTTGGGATCATCACTCTGTGCACATTGAGGAGTTGCCCCAGAGTGTGGTGAGGTGAGACTGGGAGGCTGGCTGCCCCTCTGGTCTCTCACAGAGTTCCTGCCATGCTCCTCCTCTCACAGAGTTCCTGCCATGCTCCTCCTTGCTGCTGCTGCCATGGGAGGTTCTCACCCTGCCTGGGTTGAGCTTGGAGCCTTCCTACCCACGTTTCCCAGAGCCTTTACTGCATCCTTGGGGCTGGTGTCCTTGGCCAGGGTGGGCAGTTTCCACCTGCCTTCTTCCCAGCTAGCTGTTGGCACAGTCTGGTGCACAGCTTATGGAGAAGGCTCTGTTTGGGATACTGAGGGAGTGCTGGTGGTGCTGCTGATCACAGAAGTCCTTCCAAACCCAGCACTGCCACTGAGGGTGAACTGGGGTGACACAACCCCATCTTGTTCATTCCTGCTTTGTGCCCAGCTCTGCCCCGTGGTCAGGTGCTGTCAGCACAGTGTTTCAGAGTGTCCTGGGGCTGAGGGGAGGTGGGATGCAGCTGGGGTGAGTGTCAGGAGCTGTTGGAGTCCTTGGCATCACACACACACACAGACACGGACAGGGAATGGGGCACAGTAGCATCACTGCTCACAGGGTGCCAAGGAGGACATCATGAGCCCTCCCAAACCCAAAACACTGTTCTTGTCACATCAGAGGTGATAAACCATCTGTTCTGACCAGGGCTGTGTAGCTCTGCCTGTTCCTTGCCTTGGTTCTCCACTGTACACTGACGTTCTTCCAGCACCACAGCGTGTCCCAGCATGGGGACAGTTCCTGCTTCTGGACGGGGACAGTTCTCTGCCCACACGTCAGAGGTGCCTTGTCTGAGCTCTGACCTAGCAGAGCTATCAGAGCAGGGGGAAGGATTCAGACCACAGAGGAGCCTATGCTGATGTCAAACCAACTGCTCAACGCCATGTCCTGCTTCCAGCAGTGCTCTCAGTCGGGTTGGGATGTACCTGGATTACCGATCACTGCTGCTGGAAAAGCTGTGCATACTCTTGGGGTATGGCATGAGACCCTTGAGTGGGCCACAGAGCTGGAGCAGGCACAGTGCACGGGGGCTGGAGTTAGAGCAGTTTACACACATTAGAGGAGATGCAGTTTCCTAGCAGGGGGGAAATTAATGTTGGAATAGTTTATCTGGAGAGCAGTTTGACTTAGCACTGCCTGAGCCTTTAGAATGAGACCAGTTTTCTGTTCAGGAGATGTGCTTTAGTCCAGCTTGTGGGTGTTGCTGGGCACGTGTGTGCAGGGCTGTGGCACGGTGGTCGTTGCCATGTGGCTTTGGGATCCCCTGTTGGCTGCCTGTCCTGGGCCCATGAGCAGAGCAGTGCTGGGGGCTGCCCAGCCTGGGTGTGTCCACACAGGGCTCAGCACTTTAAGCACATGTGGTGTGCCTGTCTTGGCTCAGGCTGTGTCTGCTGTGTCAGAAAGGTTTTCCTTCTGGTACACAATCAGTAAAGACTTTTCTGAGGAATTTTTTTATCTGTCTCTCTGATGCCTCCAAGCCCAGTAGCAGTGGATGCAGTCACCAAGTGCACTGATGGGACACAGACCCTCTGAGGTGGTGTGCTCTTATCCCTGTGCAATGCCCAGGGCTGGATTTACAGTTAATGGGGAATCTGCCTGGCTTCAAATTATCAGTGACCTCACAGTTTTGCCACCTTGGGACTGTGGGTGGGACTGTTACTGGATCCACAGGGCATCTCTCATCTGACACATATTTTGGGAACTGGAGAGGAAGCACTTCAAATTTTGCAGTTCTTTGCCAGTCACAAGTTAATCTTCAGAGGACACGAGCTTTGGAGACATGAGGGATTTGCTGTCTTGCCCCAGGAGTCTCTGGGCTAAACCAGGTGGCTGGTGGTTAGAGTTCAGAGCAAGTATCTGTGGTTCTCCTGTGACCTGAACTCTGCAGAGGTGAGTGAGTGTGCTGGCTGATGTCCACTGCACACACAGTCCTTACTTGGGGTGAGGAAAGACCAGGGACATAGAGGGGGAGAAGAAGAATAAAACAGTGTCGCCTTGCCCTGTATGTGGATGAAATAGATGGATGCAGTGCTCTGGTGAGGATTCAGAATAACTCCAAAGCAGGTATGGACATTTTCAAGCTAAATACAGTTGGAATGAGGAAGGGACTTGTGTTTGTGAAACCAGTGGGGACTCTGAGCTCAGTCATGATTGTGACCCAGTATTTAAACCATTCAAGAGGCAACTTTACTCTAGTTAAGCTTGGTTTTATTTTGGGTGGGATGAGTTCCCATTGTCCAGAGGGGGCCATGGAGATGCTCCGTGGGCTGGAGCCCCCTCCTACAGAGATGGGCTGAGACAGCTGGAGGTGTTAACCTGGAGAAGAGAAGGCTCTAGAGAGAAGACCTTAAAGCTCTTCCAGTGCCTCAGGCTGGAGAGGGAGCTTGGACAAGGACCTGAAGTGACAGGACAAGGGGGACTGATATTATACTGAAGGAGGGGAGGTTTAGGTTGGATATTAGGAAGTCCTTCCATGTGGGGTGGTGAGACCCTGGCAGTGGTTGGCCAGAGAAGCTGTGGCTGCCCCATCACTGGAAGTGTCCAGGGCCAGTTTGGACAGGTCTTGGAGCAGCCTGGTCGGGTAGAAGGTGTCCTTGCCCATGGCAGGGGTGGGACTACAGTGGCTGGGGTGGAGAGGGCAGGAGAGGGATGAGCAGATCTGCCAGAGCTCACAGGTGCTATGGCCTGAAGGCAGGTATTCACTAGAGGTGTGGCACTGCTGGGTCAAGTGTCTCCTGCAAATCCCTGCTGCTCCTCTTCCTGCTGGAATGTCAGTTCTCTTGCCCTGTCCCTCACAGTCCCCCAGGTGCATCCTTGCTATGGTTCATCGGGTTCACCTACCTTTGTGTTGTGCTGCATCTCATGTTTCTGGCTCAACGAGCTCGTATCAAAGTGCAGATGGGATGAAAAGGGACTTCAGTGAGGGAGGAAAGATGGCAGCACAAGACACAATGTCAGTCAGCACAAGAGCCCAGCCTCAGCCCAGCTGGGCCCTGGTTCGTGCTTTGCAGAGGTTTGTAGGGACCTGCTGCAAGGGGAGCCGGGCAGGGGGGCACTGGACCCGGGATCTGTGACCTGTGCAGGTTCCTACACTCGTACCACAGCCATGCATGGAGCGTGGAGCTGGCTCTGTGTCACAGCTCACTGAGGCAGGGGATGCCAAGAGCTGAACACCAGGAAGCCTGCCTTGGAGTGGGAGGTGAGGAGAAGTGAAGGAGGAGGCTGCAGCAATGCAGAGATGGTTGTGGTTGCAGGCAGTGATTGGAGGTGTTTCCAGCAGCAGAAGGAAACGAACATGGGGGAGTCAGAGCACAAGAGTGAAGGGAGCAGGCTGAAGGGGAAAGTTCTGCTCCACTCTGGAGGGCTCATGGGGGATTCTGCAGCTTGCTGAGGACCACGAGTCTCCCCTGGGATGTGCTTCTGGGCGGTGCTGGAGAGCAGACAGCAGCCACGTCCTCAGCGCAGGGGAGGCTGAGCAGGACGGGCCAGTTGGACTCAGCACGGAGTTGTGAGCTTGAGCTCCGGAGGGTTTTGGGTGGGGACTGCTGTGGGTCACTTCCCTCCAGCCCGAGGAACAGTCTGCATGGTCTGACAAGCGTGTTGGGGCCAGTGCCAGTGTGAGTCCTCTTCCCCCTCCTGCTTCTGCAGCATCACTCCTGCATCTCCTCCAGGGAGAGCATTTTCTGGAATGTGGTGGGAGGCATCGCTTGGGATGCAGGGCTTGGTTGATGCTCCCATTTGCTCTGAGGTGATGAGGGTCCAGCTGTCCCTGGCTGAGTTCTGTGTGCTGGCACCAGCTCCTGGCTCCACAGCACAGGCTGGGGAGCCGTGGGTGCAGAGTGGGGCAGTGTGTCCATCCCTGGGCCTCTGTGCCGGGTGGGCTGGTGGGAGGGAGCCTGTGCTGGCTTAGCTGCTCCAAACGTTGGGATGGCAGGGGATGATGCTGGGTCTCCAGGCAGCTTGGGATCTTGGCTGGGCTCATGCTGACGCCTGACAGCTCTGTTGTGGCCTCTGGGGAGGAAGGCCGGGAGCCATTGCACAGGGCAGAGCACGGTGCCGGGGAGCGCCGCGGTGGCAGGGCCCCCCCGCCAGGCCCGTGCCCCCCGATGCTCTGCCTCTGCAGAGTGAGGGATTGGCTCCCCCAGGCCGGGGTTGCTGAGCCTGCTGTGATCATGTCACGTCGGGCTCCGTCGATGTTAACATCTCATTATCTTTGTTACTGTAATTACATTATCCGCTGCTTTATGCAGAATTATTCTCCGAGGACTAATTGATGGATCCATGTTTAATTCATTAATCATTAGCATCAAATTCGACAATTACAGTGCACACTGATTGTGGAATTTCAAATGTAATGAGGGAAGAATTAACAAAGAAAAGGGAAAACCTGTTTCCCTGGCACACCGCTGCTCGCCGTGGGGGACAATGACATTGAGGGAAGAAGAGCAGTGAGAGCAGGGTGGTGCAGGTCATGGCAGACAGGAGGCTGG